AAGGCGTCCCTCTGCTAAGCCCGTAATAGCTTATCTATAAACGATTGACTATCCCTATTTGCAAGGTTATTTAATAGCACCTTCGCTATTAAACGAGGTACGCATTGTATATATAATATATCTAATAGCACTAGTAGCCGGATTAACTGCAGTAGTGCTATCGCTGTTACTATATATTGCGATATCGACTAGGGAGTTATTATAACTTCTCCTATCTGTATCCTTAGCCCTTGCCTTAATACGCACTATTAATATAGCAAGAGCATTAATATGCTTTAAGCCGTCGCGGAGTCCGGTAAGCCGCTTATCCTACGCTTGCTTATTAACAATACGGGCTATAGTAATCTTATGCTACAGGGTTGGAAACAATGAATTAATGGATTGCTAAGTCCCGCTGTCGTAATTAGGTCGCCTCGATAGGCTATTAGCAGGGTTACTTACGCCTAGCCGATATAATATATCAAAATCAAACCTAGCGAGGTAGACGGCCTATCTAGCCTGTCGACCTATAACTCTAGTAACCTTGGTAATGCTACGGAGGTTATTATAGTCTGTATAGACCTATATCGTATATTGGGCCCTATCGAGGTAATGCCTCTAATACTTAAAGGCCTCGATAATAGCTAAGAGCTCTTGCTCGTAGGTCTCGTAGCGACGCTTAGCATTAATTATCTTTCTTAAGAAGAAGGCAATTAGGTCCTAGTAATAGTTATTATCTGATTGCTAGGACATAATAGCCGATATAGCGAACTATAAAGCGTTAGTCTTAATTCGGATCTGCTTGTTTAGCACGAAATAGTATAACAAGGGGACTTTAGTAAAGCGCTACTTTAGACCGTCAAAAGCGGCTTGTGCTCTATTAGTCCATTTGAACTCTCTAGATAGATTGGCCTTAGTTTTAGTGAGTTCCGTTAGTAGCATTACGTGCCGCGAGTAACCTTCGATAAATCGACGGTAGAAGTTAGCAAAACCTAGGAATAATTGAAGCTCTTTAATACTAGTAGGTATTAGCCATTTAGTAATAGTCTTAATTCGATTAGGATCAGCCTTAATACCCTCGGTTAATACGAGGAAGCTAAGGAAGGACACCTCTTTAGTAGCAAAGGTGCATTTAGAAGGCTTGTAATATAGGCTATAGGCCCGTAGGCGATCGAGGACCTTTCGTACTATAGCCTAGTATTCCGCAATATTAGGTAAGTGTGTATAAACTAGGATGTTATCTAGGTAAACTATATAGAGGTGATCTAATAGGCCTAACAGGGCCCGATTAATGTAGGACTAGAATGTAGTAGGGGCATTAGCTAGCCCAAATGGTATAACTAAGTACTTAAAATAGCTATAGCGAGTACGAAAGGCTGTCTTCTATTTATCGCCCTTACGAATACGGATGCGGTAATAGGCGTCTTTAATGTCTAATATAGTGTAGTAGTAGGCACTAGAAAGGCGATTAAGGGTCTTATTAATAAGAGGAAGTGGATAGCGATCTTTAATAGTAATAGCATTAAGCCTACGATAATCGACATATAGGCGCAGGCTACTATCCTTCTTTAGTACGAATAGGATGGGTGCACTAGCAGGGCTGTTACTATACCGAATACGACTATTGGCTAGGTTTTCTTCTAGGTACTTACGTAATACAGCAAGCTCGCGCTTACTAAGGTTGTAGAGTAGTCTAAAAGGGACCTCTTTGCCCTCTATAATATCAATCTTATAATCCGTCTCTTTGAATATAGGCAACGTCGATGCTAAGTAGTGTTTAAACATATTAATATAGGTCTCTCGAATAGGTTCTAGTATACGCTCAAGCTGTTTAGGATCTATGCTATTAGGGGGCACTAGCTCATCGTTATCTCTACCGAGTAGGTCGGCAGTTAGATTAGCTAAGGCGGGAGTTAGGTTGCTAATGAATAGGACCCTAATATTATTAGGACACTCGCTAATATCGATGTGTTTAATGTCCTCTTTCCTAGCGATTCTAAATCGCTATTATTGACTGCCTAAGTCTATAACTATAGTATAGTACTTGAGAACAGGGTTGCTAATAACAATGTCGGATAGGAGGCTGTCTATGTCTACTATATAGGTAGTGAAGTTTAGTAGGCGCTTATTGCCGAGGTCGTCTCTTAGGGCTATATAGATATAGTAGGCTCTATAGGTTAAGTGCCGAGCGTTATTAAACCAAGCAAGGGTTAGCAGGTTAGTCCTAGGCAGTTGTCGAAGGTCTAATTGCTTAGCTAGGCGATAGCTAATAAGGGCACTAACTGAATTTCCTAGATCTAGTATAACCTTAGTCTTATAGTTAGTCCTATACGTGTCCGATACGAGACAGGTACGTATAATAGCTAGTATAATGTCGATAGTCTTACGCCGTACAAGGCTAACAGTTAGTACGGCGCTTATTCTTTTTTCGACTAATAAGAAGGTTGGCCTATAGGGGTAGCGTTAGCTGCTAAAAGGTGCTTTCGGTGCTTAGCGGCAGCGCGGTCGATTCGGGCCTAGTCCTTAGGTTTGTCGTATTAGCCTAGTAGATAGCTAATGCTGTTACAATTGAAGCACTTTAGTCCGGTTAGGGGATTGCTATAGCTATTGCCGCTGTTGTTAGCCGAGCGATTAGTACTATAGGGATACGAGCCCCTTCTACGGCCCCTGTTACGGCCTCCTCTGTATAGCCGTCGGCTACGGCTTCTCCTACGGTCGTTATTGTTGCTACCTCTATTGTTAGCACTAGTATTGTTCTAATGCGAACCTTGATTTCCTCCGCGGCTACGATAGGTAGCTAGGCGTATCTTAGATTCTAACCGTTGTTAGAGCTATACTATACGCTCTACAGTCTCGACTTTAACTATAAATTGAATGCGTATAAGATTGGTCTGTTTAAATATACGGCGGCGGTCTAATTTAAGGACCAATTCCTATCTTAGTTTTAGGCGTATTTCCGAGATCTATATAGAATTAGTCTTAGCCGGAAGGTTATCCTCGAGGGTCTTTAAATAGGCCTTAAATAAACGAGCCGACTGGTTAGTCTTTTGTTTAGCTCGAAGGTATTAGTCCTAAGTATGCTATTGTCTTAGTATCGGGTTTCTAAGAGTGTCTAGTATAATAGTCTTATAGGTTTTCTACTGAACAGCAGTCTAATTATTAAGGGAATCGAAATGGTCGTCCTAGGTGCGCTTTAGGTTACTATTAATGTACTGCATAGCGTAAACAACTAAGGAATAGTCGTCTAGAAGAGCCCTTAGTGCATTTCGCTAGTTAAGTTCGCAATTACGTATATAATCATTGTATTGCTTGCGACTAGAGCTATTAAACACGGTGCAGTCCTTAAGTTTAGTATCCTTCTTCTAGACTAGGACTGATAGTAAAGAAGGCCCTACGGTCGGCTTAGTGTTAGTTGTTAGGGCCTCCTAAAGGCGACGAATTTCGAGGAGGTTATCCTTTAGCTGTTGTTCTTAACGTAGAGCAGCGAGCCTGTTTTAGGTGGCTTCTTAAAGTCTCGCTACTAGCTAGGGCCTAAAGGCTAGTTAGCTATATCGTCGATTAACAATGTTGTTAAGTATGTTATTAATAGGCAACTCTAGGTCGTCACCTAGAACTATAGGTTCTTCGGTAGGCCTAGTAGCAGGCTCTTTAGCAGGCACCTTAGTAGGGGGTACTTTAGTAGGCACTTTAGCAGGCACTGTGCTACTAGCGTTGTCGTTGCTAGCGCTGCTAGCGGCAGCACGGTTGTTTTTTCGTAACGAACTAGCTATTATAAGGGGCGACACTAATAATGTATTGTTAGCCCCTAAGATGCGGATGTAGCGGAATTAGTAGATATTAGTCTAGTACGATTGACTTAGTGTAATAGGCCGTATAGAAGGCCTTGCTTAATAATTGGTACGGTTGTTTCGATAGAGTAGTACGTGTAGGTCCCGTTCTTCGGGCGTAATATAGTTAAATCGATAGTTTTCGTAGCTATACCGCTAAAAGCTTAAAATAAGGACTATCTAGCTGCTACCCTTAAAGGGTAGATCGAATACTGTATAAGAAGGGTTATGTTAGCAGGTAGATAGGGTAGTAGTGAATCAGTATAGTATTCGATAGAGATCTAAGAGGAGAGGGAGGAAGGCAGGCTAGTTAGCCTAACGCTAAGCGCCAAGCCCTGCCTAAGGCATCGAGACCCTAGCTTTACTCGAGCCTAGTCACATACTAATTACGTATAACCTCTTTAGTCCTAACAGTATCTACGTTACTATAATACTATTATATCTAACTCGCCGTAAGGCATAGCTTCGTAAGCGTTAGTCTAGTAGTAAGAAGAAGGACTAGTAGCTTATTAACGGTCTAGCAAGAGTAAGAGCCCTATAGAATAAATATTAAGCACGCTATAAGCCTACTTCTAAGGAGTCTACTTCTATAGCCGCTGTCGCTATAGAAGCTACAGGTTATTTAACGGATATAATAGCGTAGCAATAAGAGCTTAAGAACGACGTGCTTACGACTAATATTAATTACTTCGAGTCCTTTATTGCCGCTACGCCTATTAAGCTGCTATAAGTTAGTACCGATAAGCGGATAAGCTAACTAATCTATATAAGTCTACTTAAATAGTAGTACCTGCCTATGTAACGGACGGCCTATCTAACGCTCTCGTAACTAGCTATCGACTTATTGTCCGCCTTCGCTATATCCGTAGAGTCCGAGCGTACCTTTAGTAGTAGTAGACGTACGGTTTTATAGGACCGAGCCTCTCTTAATAGCAATAGCATCCGAATAAGCGAGTGTTCTAAGTAATAGCAACGTACTAGCGTAGCGGATTTACTAGTAGATATACTATAACTAAGTATAGAAGCGGAAGACAACGACGAGTTATATAAATAGCTATAGAACACCCTCCTTCTTAACCCTAAGCGTTACTACTGCCCTCACTGTCGCTGAGATTGTATTTGAATATAAATTGAATATGAATATTCACTAACATTCATTAGTGAATCTGAATACGAGCAGTGAATCTTGAATATTCAGTATTCAACAGCTATGTGGTGCGTGAGTGTCTCCCTAGATGTCTTTGTGCTGTACCATTCATTCCCGACCATGGCCACCGCCGTCATCGTCGCAAAGGAGCCAATGGCTTGTGTAGGCAGATTGGCTGTAGCCAGATATGCCAGAGCGCGTTGGCGTGGAGTCTGAGGTTTCTTCATGGCTGAAAACGGAGCGCTCATAACGCTACCGACAACATGAGAAGCAGCGCCGACGGTTAGGCCGACGAAGCCACCAAAGACACCAAAAGGATTGAAAGACTTTGCTGACTTGCCCATGGCTTTCACACTCTTCTTCACATGGTTCGCATACTGCTTCTGGAAGTCGCCCATAGCATGGCCCACGTCTGCGGCATGATGAAGGGCTTGCTTAGAGACATTGGCGGAGAGAAAGGCGGATGTGGTGTTTAGGAAACTGTACCATGAGTCTGGAGGAATTCCATAGTTGATCAGATTGGTGGGATAGGCAGCGAGGAGTGGAGCGCTCGGACCAGGTGACACTTGGGGTATTGCCAATGGCTTGTTGATGGCATTCGCTGCGGCCAGTGTGTATGTCGGGAGCTCGGCATTGGGAAAATTGAATGGAGCAGATGCCGTGGGACCGATCGGCTCCCCATTGGCATTCTTTTCTTTAGCGAGGTCTTTGCTAGTAGCATCGGCCTGGACGTCCTTCTCTCTAGGGAGACCTTTGCTTGCACCATCTGGCTGTGCATCTTCATAAGAGGGAAGGTCGTCTCCATGGAGTGTCTGCTCCTCAGCTCGTGATGAAGCAGCATCCGAAAGATCGTCTCGGTCTTGGTGGCGTGAGCTGTTCTGCGTGGCTTCCACTTCTTTCGACAAAGCCATCGTTCCGGTAACGTCAATTTGCCGTTGTGTCAATTAAATACAGGCTATCGCGGTCCCCGAATGTAACGGCCACAGAAAGGTTCAGATCTGATGGTGAATGTCTTCAGCTAAGGAGTAGTGGAAGACTGGCGTGGCCACTGGTACAGCTTGAAAGGGAGAATAAAATGTATGGTCCGGGTATCGAGCTGTGAGCACTCAGCACGAAATGAGAATACATCTTGATGATATTCTCAGCTCCGATACTTGAAGCAGGGATACGAGAGGTTTATCTGCGAATGCGAGGTCCACATGGCTCGAATCTGATTGGCCATACCGCCTTGGACTCCCTGAAGGGGGATGGTGCGTGAGTGTCTCCCTAGATGTCTTTGTGCTGTACCATTCATTCCCGACCATGGCCACCGCCGTCATCGTCGCAAAGGAGCCAATGGCTTGTGTAGGCAGCAGTATTCGATATGGCGAAGCTGCGGGTCTCGGAGGTGTGAGGTGGATGCTAACTTTGCTAAGCATGCTCCGCCATGCGGCATTTCCGAGCGTCCAGGCACCCATATTCCAGGTGACGATCCGGGTGGCAGTTCTGGATGACAGGTGATGAAGCAGAAATCGAGCGGATCAGTATGGCCGTCATTGCAAAGCGCTCTTTTGAAGTGTGGTCGACGTCCGAGCAGAAGCAAGAGCTCGGTGAGTGACTCGAGCCACACAAGGGGCAGGAATAAAGAGTCAAGGACAGACAATAGACCGGACCGCTCATTGCAAAGCTATCGATGTTCTGGACGACTTGCATATGCGAATAGGTGAACGGGCAGAGATATAGAAAAAAACACGAAACATGGCATACGCGACGCGAAGATTCAGCGCCAAGACATTGTTGGCTGCTTAAGACTGCTGTATCTCAAACACGCATCAAAACTCCTTCCTGAGCACATCCACAACAAGAGGTATAACCAAATCCGGTCTCGTAAACGGTGCTCCATGCCCAGCCTTCACCTCATAGACACTAACATCACCTCCCGGTCTCGCTTTCCTCACTGTCTCAGCCATCCTCTTCTGCACTCTAGGAGGAAGTGGAATGTCCTCAGCCGGAATGATGAACACAACCTTATCCACATCCACGTACCCAGCATGCTCTGTTTCGTTGGTGATCGACAAGTATGACTGAAATCTAAACTGCTCAGCGATCGCCATGGCGTCTGCTTCCGGAAGATCTGAGAAAGTCGTTCGAGCTGAGGTGACTAGGTCGGAATGGTATAGAAATGGTCCCTGCAGACTCAAGATCAGTACAAGGAAAATGTTGTTGTGGGTGGGTGGGAATGAAACTCACATCCGCATCAACAGAGTCGAACTGCAACTCCATTTCTTCGTTGATATTGATCATGCTTTGTCCCACCCTGGGAACATATGCGGCAAGATACACCAGCCCTATCACTCGTCCTTCGCCTGGCACGCCCGTTCGGCAACCATTTCTCTCTCGCTTCGTGGTCAGGCCACGACCGCATGCTGTCAGAATGAGACCGGCGTACGAATGTCCAACGACCACCACATCTTTGCCAAGATCGCAGAGGGTTGTGAGGATACCGGAAAAGAACGAAACATCTTCGTACAAGGTATTAGGGCGCTCGCCAGGCTTTCGGGATGCTGTGGGGACGTCGAAGGCGAAGACTTCGTACCCATGGGCTCGAAGGCCGGTAACTATGGGATCATACTGGAGAAAATTGTCAAATGTTTGATGTTCCCCTGTATGGCAGGAGCTGATATCTCCCAGGTGGCTGTTCTTTCCGATACTTACAATAGGGATTGTCGAGAAAGCTCCGGGAATGAGCAAAACTGCAGGCAAGGGCTTGGAATCAGCACGGTCTCGATTCGCGCTACTTGTCCCTGACATGGGGGCCATTGTGGGTGGAGGAAGGTGCATTGTGAATGGAGGAAGGCGTTCATATGCAAGGAAGGTGCGATGAGCGAGGGAGGATAGCAGTGTATATATCACCCATAGCGTCGACCATCAGTCCTCATAGATGCTATCCCGAATCTCAATCTCGGTGCGAGGTAGGCTCGCCGCTCGGGTATGATGCGGCAACCGAGCTGTCGTGTAGCAAAGACGGGTAGCACGTTGCTAATGCCTTATTAGGAGGGAAACTATGGGCAAAACTGAGCCGCCCTGCCAGGAATACAAGTGTGATGCTCTGCTCTGACCGCTCAAAGGAGGAGGATGGGATGACCCGAAGAACCGCCGCGGTGCATTACTCGAGTCGCAGGTCTTAGAAGTGTGCTTGTTTCCCGAATGATTCGCCCAGGAGCAGCTGTGCCTCTCTGAAATGTTTTAAGTGATTGCGCATTGCAGCGTAGTGCAGGTTGAGATGGCGTGCGAAGCCGAAGCAGATATGAAGGAGGCGCGAGGAAGATATCATGACCACGGTAGAACTCGGCATCTAAAGACAACCTTAAGCAAACCTCTCGCATCCTCAAGATACCGCTATGGCAAACCTCTCGCATCCTAATAGAGATACTGCTATAACAGTAACGATAGCGCTAGCGATCAAGCGCAATACAAGTCGACCGAACAAGAGAGTCTCGCTACGACCGAATAAGAGTGCCGCGCTACGACAGAAACGGGACCGCGGCTGTGTGTTCAGGCGGTACGAAGCATAAGGCGGAAGCTTCGCTCGCACTTTGTAGGCACCACGCAGAGCCGCCTACACTGTACAGCCATATTAGAACCAGTAGCCTTGTGCCTGTAAATTTCATTGGAGTGCTCAATCAATATGCTCAAAGTGGGTATCGTAATCATCGTCAGCGCCGTACAGAATCTCGCAAACGCCTCCAATTGGTATGTCCATCACTGCGTCAGTCCCTTCATTCCACAAATTACGCCAATCGAGCTCCGGGCTGAGCGGCTGTACTTTTGTGATGCTCGATTGCCTGCTGTGTGCATTCCTGCCTTTGCCACCAGCTTTCTTTCCGATACTGCTCTTGTGGGCGTGACTTCCTTTGTACTTGGTCGTATCAATGTCATTCTTCCAACTGGCTTGCGCCCCACGCATAATCTTGCCGTTTGCGTCTACAACAGCCACATTGGCTGCCTCATCAACAAGACATTCCACACTCTTGAGAGGCAGAGTCAAATATCCGATATTGTAGGAGGCCAGAGCGACATAAATGTAGACGACAAGCATGACCGTCCAGGCGGGAACTGCTAGAGCCCACCATCGGTTGGGGTAGTAGTAAATGCCCAGCTGGTGCAGGAATGGAGACGGCAAAAAGCTCCACAGCAGATACACAATGAACGCCAAGCTACTGGTCAAGTAGAGTGTGAAGCCGTAGTACTCGTAAGTAGGCACACGGGGGCTCGCGCGAGGAATCGGCTTGGCAGAGCGGAAGGTGCTCGTTAGTGTCGAGGCAGCGGCGGAATTTGGTGTTTGTGTGCCCGTCACATCACCACGAGTATGCGCTGTGCCTTCATCGCTGGAAGGGTCTGGCGTGGTAGGTCTGCTGTTCTGCGCTGTGAGAGGCCTCAACAGTGATGTCAAGGATGGGGAAGGCGGCAACGGCGTAGGCGGCCGATTGTAGAACGGAGGGGCGAAGGCGGAAGGGGCGAGATGAGTGTAGCTTCTGGAGTACTGATGGTATATTGGCGTTGTTGGGAGATTTGGGACGTGCCCGTCTTCTTCTTCCGCGGACTCCTCATCTGTAGATGCTGGTGATAGTGACGGTGGTTCGTGGGCTGAGTCTAGGGAGAAATGATCGATAGAGGCAGGCTCAGACGGCGAGCTGATATTGTCGCCAGAGATGTCGGGTAATATAGTTATGGCATGGTCTGGATGCAGTGTCGCCGGCGCACCATTGGCAGTATCATGCTTTTTCTCAAGCGAACGAAGGGTGGGCAGGTTCGGAGTCGACTTGGACTGAAAGCCCGTTGGCACTGCTAGTGGCTTCGGAGGCGTTCCTTTGCCTCTGCTTTGTGGTGGCATCGTGGGTAGCACTCATGCTCATGGAGATGCTGGCTACCGAAGTAAAGGAAACACCGGCCGCTGTCTCCTTTCAGACGCTCACGTGTTGGAGCCTCAGGCTGCATGTCTTGGCTCGATAGTAATCGTGGCCGTGGCCTACGCTTGCTTTCTGGCAGACCAATAGCTATTCAAGGCCGTTCGACATTATGCTTGAGAATCATAAGCTGTATCAATTGATCGTGACATCCTAGAGTGGATGAAGCGACCTCATTGATCATGGGCACGCTCTCAGAAGGCTAAGCGTTACTCGGCAGAAGCAGAGAATGGCTGTCCTGCCGTCCTGATGTTCCGTCTTGTTACCACACAAGGCGTAATTCGATTAAAATGGAAAGAAAGCGATATGATTCTCCTGCGCATGTCTCATAACATTATTAGAGAATCGAAAAGTATAGTATAGCTTTATATATCAGGAAGCGAAGTGGAAATTTCTGCAGGTAGTAGTAGTGTTAACAAAGCAAAAAACAAGCCTTTGGGTATCTTTTGATCCAAATATGCAAAGAAAGACAAAAAAAGCACGCATGCTTGCTCAACTCAACTCCCAAAAAGTCATAAAAAAAGTCCTCCCATCTATTCGTAGTCCTGTTTCAACCTTTTTCTGACTGTTTTGTTCGTCTACAGCCCCGAATCAATCTCCTCTACAACATTATGTCCACTCCACGCTGACCAATCCCTACAAGTCTGCGCCATAATCCCAGGAATCTGCATTTGTTTCTTGATCTCATCAGGTCGCTCCAAAAGATTAATGTAAAGTCCACCGGACACATGCCACGCAATATGGCAATGCAACGGCCAAGTACCAGGATTATCAGCCTCGTACTGAATCACAATATAAGCTGGGTTATCCGGCGACGGAGCATTCTGAAGAAGTTGGACATCACGGCGTTGAGGGTTTCCAGCATTCACGATGGAGCCATCCCACGTCCCGAACCCTTCTGCTAACACGTGGTAATTGTGGCCGTGTAAGTGCATTGGGTGAGAGCCGGTTTGTGCGTGGTTGTAGATGATGAGACGGATGTTCTTCGCGTTTCCGAGGTTGTAGACGTTGTATTCCGCTGGAAACGTTTTGTGGCCGAGTTTTGCGTCGAGGAGGACGGGGTCATTGTAGTTGGCGCGGAAAGTGGAGTTGTTCATGTAGAAGAGGTTGTGGGTGCCGTTGGATTGGAAAGTGATGGCGACTTCTTGGACGAGGTCGGGAGTTTGAGGTGCGATGCTGTAGTATGGGACGGTTGAGCTGAGAGGGTCGTTGTTGCATGTTGTGAGAACGGAAGTTGGAACGGTCGATGATGTTGTTGGGACTGCTGTTTGGTTTGCATTTTCGTAGTAGATTGCTGCGACACCTTGTGAGGAGATACCGTCGGGAAGAGAGCAGCCACCTTCGCGAAAACCTGGTCCGAGGTCTGCTCGCATCCAGACGGCGTCTGTTGGCTTGCCGGTGGCTTTGACGATCACGTCGCTGCGCTGGCCGACACCTAGAGTGACGACGTTGGTGGTGTATGGAACGATTGGGACGAAGTCGTTGGCGAAGACAGTCATTTGGTGGTTGTCGATCGAGAACTTTTGCAAGCCCTCAGCTCCAGCGTTGATCAATCGGAGGCGATAGGTCTTGCCAGACTGGAACTTGAACTTGGAGACACCGGCGTTGGGCGTGCACTTTGTGCCTGCGGTGGCGTTCTGGCAGGGGTAGTTCATCTTTCCGTTGATGAGAACATTGTTGGAAAGCGGTGGGAAGAGGTTCTGCGATGCTGGAGCCATGACTGTTTCCACGAGGCTGAACCAGTCTTGGTGGAACCAATCATTGACCATAACCGGACCAAGATCCTCGTCATACTTGATGTTGTCGTGTGGTCCGTAGATGACGAGTGGACCGAAAATTCCGGCGGCTAATTGGGCAGAGTAGTGGGAATGGTACCAAGTTGTGCCTGCAACGAACTAAAGTCAGCAATTGCTCATACAACGCATCTCGATCATAGGCTTACCATAAAGATCCGCGCGGAAACGGTATGTGAAAGTTGAGCCTGGAGCAATAGGGCATTGGTCGACGCCTGGAACGCCATCCATCCATTGAGTCTCCTTCTGAAGCAGACCATGCCAGTGCAAAGCTGTGCCTTCGTTGAGCGCGTTGTGTACAGTCACCTCGATCCAGTCTCCCCAATTTGCCTCGATCTTCGGGCCTGGGAATTGACCATTGACCACTGCTCCGTGCTTCTCCACACCGTCTGGTGCGATCGTCATAGCGCTGATCGTGAAGTCATAATGTCTCGTCACACCAGTGTTAGGCATATCGGTGTATTGATTTGTACCTTTCGCTGTTCGTCCTCCCCATGGGAATCCACCTGGCATTGGTCCTCCAGAAAGAAAAGGTGGAAGCTTCGGTGCTCCAAATGTTCCCCAATTACTATTACCATTTGTCTGTTGTTGTGAAAGAGATGGCTTCAAGTCCTGGCCGTGTGGAATCCATGCTGCTGAAGAGTAGTGACTTGCGCCTGGACCGCCGTGAGGCTGTGTAGAAGGGTAGTGTTGTTGTGCTTCGGAGTCACTGATAGGTCCGTTGCCAGTGTTATTATATGTTGCACCGTTCGTGTCGTCGCCTCGAGGAACTGGCGCTGGAGCAGCAAATGCTGAGGCGAAGAAGGCCGTACCAGCTAGGAACAGCTGGAGAGCCGAAGGCATATTGCTTCTAGAAGAAGAATTACAGCGAAATGGAAATGAAACCTAAGCGAAAAGCATGAAGCAGCACAGAAGGTAGGAAAAGGTGCGCAAGGAGACACTGCTTCTCTTTTAGTCCTACCACCGGACAATCTGGAGGCGTGCGTGTCGCAAGGGAGCGTCCATATATAGCGGCTGTGCCAATTCTCAGCACGTTCATGATACTTCGACTATGCGGTTCGGCCTCGAGGCTCGTGGCTGCGTTGAATTACCCGTCGGTGCCGACACCCAGCGAGCGAGTTGACTCGATAGAGGATTGTCTTGGACCCACCCTGCGAAAGGCTTCACCTGTCATAGACACGGGAGCAAGGATAACGTTACCTGCTGTTGAAAGAATCGTTTTCTCGTCACCTCGTGCTTCAGAGAACCAGGGGATGTATGCATGATCGGAAGGATTACACGCCAGTCCAGATATGCTAGCGGGCAAGGCCCGTGTAAACGCCTAGCTGCACTTTGCCGATCCAATATCTCGGCTCTCCAACAAGCTTCGAAGTGCTTTGCGTGTACACGTTCCAGGTCGTCATCATTAATATACTTGGATACTCAATGCTTCTGCCTTGCTCGGAAAGTTGAAGAGTTGGATTGCGGTGGGGTGCCTTGAGGTTTGCTTGCGATTCAATGTGAGGTGCGACGCAGTCATCAGGAATTCCACACGCTACTCCTCGGGCTTGTTGAAGAAACGAGCACGAGCCTGTTGCTCCTCTTTACTCAAACGAGCGATCTGTAATGCCAGTCATTGTCAGCCCTGCTTGATGAACCTTTTGCAACGTGGATGTGGCAACCAACCATGGAAGGTTACTCGGCCTTTCAATGTGCACATCACGGAATACTGTAGGAATTGCTGACACGATCGACCGCCTCTACGCCTTCTACTAGGCTTTGGTCATGCTGTAATAGGGTTTCCCGGTCAGCTGTTTGGCGTTCGCGGTACTGCTTGTGAGATAGCCGCTAGTAGGTGACTTCGGAGAGTTCTCCGAGCGGTGATGTGGCAGACTTCCAAGAATAACCGTTTGAGCCTCAGTCGGGCTCCACCAACCTTGATTGAGCGCGGACCCCTGCAAGACTTGCCCTAAGCCCTTTTAGCAAATCCTCACGATGCACCTTCGTTTGTTTGCAGGTCTTAGGATGCTTGTTGCATGGTAGGGTTACTCTTAGATGTTAGGAGTTTTAGCTAAACCTAGAGCGGAGTTAGGGGCATAGTCTTTTACTAGCGTTTACTAGGCAATAAGCTACCCGCAATCCTCTAGTTTAGTGCTATTTAGAACTACTCGGCGTAGTAACGGATTAGGTTAAGAAGGGCGCCTCTCTCGAGCCTATCGGTTAACTATTGTTAAAGCGGCTATTTAACTATTATAGAAGCGGCGCTTTTATAGTAGAAGAGACTATTATAGACTAATATATAGACTAAGATTAAATACACACTATTGCTATAGAATACTATTATTGCCTTTACCGCCTTCTACGACTATAGCGGAAGGCTTATCTACGCTAATAGCTATCTCTTCGACCTCGTTATTACTTAGTACGTAGTCTCGTACGTATTACTAGCTTACTAGCGGTTAACTAGCGATTACTATATATTCTTAAACCTCTTATCTCTCGTCTAACTCGCTCGTCGCTAGGCAAGTTATTAGCGGCGTCGTCTTCCGAGTCGTCTATTGTTTATCTATTTAGTCGCCTATTCGCTCGTTTATAATCCTCGTCTCGGATATAGCTTATTGTCCTGTCTATAGTGTACTAGTCTACGTTATAGAAGATAAGAAGCTCGTTAAAGGACGAGAGGCCGGAATCTGCAAAGTAGCGGTCGTCTATAGCAATGCTATTAATCTCGCGAATACCGTATATATAAAGCTATAATAGCTTACCCTAATGCTAGTAGTTAGTTAAATAGCAAGTACCTAGTAGCGTAGGTAGACCTCGTACTAGCGGCGGCGGTTCTATGTCTTCTATTAAATCTACCTCTTCTATGTCGTCTAAATCGAGCGGTTATAAGGACTGTGTTTCTAGCGTTGTCTCGCGGCGCGGCGTATCGAAGGAGGGCGGCGGTAGGCGCGGAATTAGCCTTAGAGTAAGGTTACCTAGCGGAGGTAGTAATAAGAATATAGGTTAGCGAATAGGTAACGATTAAACGCGCCGTTTTGAAGGTAACGGTCGCAGTATTATATTAGTATAGATATAGTGCGTTTCTAGTGTAGTTAGTAGTAATTGAGTGCGAGTTAGTATCGCTAGAGTTAGTGTCGCTAGTTTAGAAGGTAGTTAAGTCGTCTACCGTCGCTTAGTCTCGCCTATAAATAGGACTTCCTATAGATTAGCGATAAAATAGTTAACATTTAGTGCGTAGTAACTATCCGAGAAGTCCTTAACCTTCCGCACGTAGAAGGCGTAGAATAAGTCCTTTATAGAAGCGTTAATAGTAGGGTCGTCTACTATGCGCTAATATTTTAGATTTAGCGTTTCTACTGCCTCCTTAAAGTAGCCTCGAAGGTCTCTTAATTAAGGTGTTTGTGCTAAGGCAACGGCGTCTTCTTCGTAACCTTCGATTACGAGTTGCTAAGTATCGAGAACGCGCTAGTATTTGTAAGCAAATATTACGTTAAGGCCTAGAAACAGCTCGATATATCGTCGCTGTTATAGCTTACTAATTTCTAGTCTATTAAATAGGTAGTCTCGTAGAATATAGTAACAAGGTAGGCGGGTTTGAAACTACGAGAGGCAATTGCAACAAGCCGGAGTTATATAGTCGTAACTGCGCAGTATGCCCTTGTAAATAGGCGCCGCCTTAGCTTCTATCTTAATAGCGATATCTACCTATTCTCGTAGTCGATCTTAAGCCGCTAGCGATTACAGACTCTCGAAGCTTAGAAGGCGCTTTTTATACTAGTATTATATGCCTTTGCTAACCCTATAGCTAGCGAGTTGTGCCTTATAAGCTAGCCTGTCGTCTACCTTAAGAACCTCGAGAATCGTGCTATAGAGGTTATAGAACACGAGGTTCCGCTTGTTCCGGTTATACTTAATAGTATAGTAATAGCCCTCGAGAGGCGAAGTTGTCCGTATTTGTAGCAACAATAGACTATAGAGCCGTACCTATGTAGCCTATATTCGTAAAGTCTAACTATTCTAATTATAGCGTATATATTAGACCTTGTTTTGCCAGTCTGTAGGCTTCTTCTCTTGTAACTACTCCTAGATCCAAACTATGTCGTTAGTAACCTCGCTAGCGCTACGGGCGTAATAGATTGCGTAGTAGAATCGCTTAACAACCTCTAGAAATTAGGCCTCTAGAAATAAGCGAAGGAAGGTCTCTTTAACGTGCCGCTAGTAGAGGTAGATAAGCACCTGTTTCTCCTTCTAAGAGAGGTTAATTGCGGCCTACTTAGAGGCCGAGTCGTCTACTATAGCTATAATAGCATTCTATAGTAGTAACTACTCTTTAAGGACTCGGAGACCGGCTTCTACTAGCTTAGCTTTCTAAGATTCTAGCAACATATGTCCTGCTAGCAACTAGTACCCTAACCTATTACGAACATATATAGTAAAAAGGCTCTAGCTAAGGTCGGTAGTCTTATAAGTTGCGTCTAGTAAGAACAACTATATAGCATGTAAGTTAGTAATGTTTTAAATTTTTGAAGTTAGTCGTAAGAACTGTAGAACGCAAGCTTAGAAGCTTAGTTATACGCCTGCCTTCTATAGTAATAATAACAATACCTGCACTTATATCTCCTGCCTTAGTATTTAACAACTCTCGCTGCTAGTCGGTCTGAAATACAATACTACGCTCTTCCTTGCCCTTTAATCTCTTCGATATTACCTAGTATTTAAGCTCTTTGCCGTCTATATTATTACAAAGGCTATTAAGAATAGCAGGAAGGTCGCCTAGCTAGATATTCGCATTTCTACGCTTAGTACTACGCACCTTCTTTAAGTCCGGCCTAATCTTTAACTAACCGATAGTACTAGCCTTTATATACTGCCTACTAATCTTACTAAACTCGTCCTTTATTAGGCTATTTTTAACAAATTTAATAACCTTAGCAACGTTGAATTTACGCTGTTCTATTAACTCCTCGAGCAACACCCTTAAGGCGTTGCTAGCCGACCTAATATCTATATACTTTAGGTTATAGCAGTATAGGTTATTACCTACTATAGAAGGGTCGACTCGGTAATAGCGGATACTAATTTTATATAGATTAGCCTCTTCTTTGCTCCGGAAGTGCGAGATAACTAGTATTATAGCATTATACGGCTCTTTATTATATTTAGCCTTGCGAATACCCTCCGAGGGCGACTTATTCCGCTACTAATCGCGCCTATAACGACAATACTAGTACGACTACTATTATAATCTATCCTTCGTCCTTTGCGACTTCGCCTCCTTATATACGTTACTTATATAGCCCTTTAGTACCTCGAAGCGCTTAGGCTCGAAAGTTAACCCCTACGGTATATTAAATAGCTGCTCTCGGACATCGATTATATTATATAGTATACGGTTAGGCCTAAACGGCGGCGGCACTAGTTTAGACAAGATAGGCGGTATAGCGACGATAATAATAACAACGATTAAATAGTATTTAAGCTATTATAGAAAGAGCTAGATCTATATATAAGAAAGAGCTATAGAGATAAGGTTGGAACTAGAAGTATAACTAGACCCCGCAGTGGTTCGGTTTCCGAACCACCAAACGTATATGGTTTGGTTTCTTAGCGGCGAACTAGCTCCCTGGTTCCGGTTTGGTTTTTTCGAACCATATAGATTCCTGGTTTAAACTAGAGACTGTATTGGTTTTACTATAAGGACACTCTTATTCGACTGCCGGCTACGATTGCCGGCTATAATAGTAACTCTGTTACATTTACTAGGCGTAGTTGCCGTTGCTAGGGCGTAGTTGCCGTTACTAGGGCGTGGTTTTGCTATAAGGACACTCTTATTCGACTGCCGGCCACGATTGCCGGCTATAATAGTTACTAGGTTGTATTTACTACGCTTTATTACCGTTGCTAGGGCGTGGTTGCCGTTGCTAGGGCGTAGTTGCCGTTGCTAGGGCGTAGTTGCTATTGCCGGGGCGTGGT